TAGACCTCAACCAAAAGTGAGGTCAACAGATGGATAAGTTCTATATGTTGAAAATGATTTTTTTCATTATTGTATTTAATGGTTTCTAAAATAAGAGGTACCATTCTAGTTTATGTTGGAGCTTTTTATTATTGAAATTCTTAAGATAGTAGAGACAATCTCTTTCTTTAATTAGCTAATCATCTTCCTCATGCATTGTTCCTGAAATGCAAAAACAAATGATAAAACACAACACCGCACTTGAAATTTTTAGCTAGCTTTTAAGTAGCAAGTTGATAATTATTAGGGTTCTTAAAAGAAATGGAGCATGATGGATTTATGTATAATAAATATTCTCAATTGGCTTTAGTGGTCGACTAAGGATAGTGGATCCATTGACCATAGTTAATTTTGTTGTTGTTAGGAGCCTAGGATGTGGGATATATGAAACAGACTTGTTGAAGTAAACATAACAAGCTTTTTTGCATGTTTATGTATTGTAAATGGCCAATATTCTTTTTATATTTAAGTTTCTGTTGTCTATTCATAGCTTCTTTAGAAAACACTTTAAATTAAGCTATTTTGTTAAATGAATTTTTTGCAACTCTCCTGTTCAATTGGGATTGCTTCCCTCAATTCTAGTAGAACAGTAGACTAAAGCTATGTGGCTATTGCTATTATTTTCCGTGGAGATAAACATTGTAGCTATGTTGATAGGATTAAAAAGAAATTTGGCAATGCAATGATAAATGCTGTAATAATGGGACCAATTTGTGGCAATGCAGCGATGAAGATTGCAATTATAAAAAAATAAGAAAAAAAGACAGTGCAGCAATAAAGGTTGTAGGATTTTTGTTTGTAATGCAATGATGATGGTTTTTATAATGAAAATTCAAGGGAGAGAAACCATATGATTGATATCATGACAATAATTTGACAGAATTAGTTGGGTATTTCATTCCAACATTTGTGTAGTATTTATACACTCCAATGAGAACTTTTAATAGGAAACAAATAAAATTGGGTAGTAATAATTATATAATAATTTTAATAGTTCCAGATTGATTATTAGGCATAGTAATAATTATAGAATAATTTCAATTTTCCACCGATTTATATGTAGCAGTGATCTCATGGATCATTGTGATAGTGGTAGAAGAGGAAGGAAAGAGGGCGGAAGGCTTGGGGAATTTAATTTATGAAAAATATGCAGTCGTTTCATATCAATAATAAGGATCAAATAGATAGATTTTGAAACTTAAGAGACCTTGATCTGGGGCACATTCAAACATATGAGCTTTTTGTTTTAACCTATCCTATAATAAATACTAGTCAATTTTATGAATTGGTCTGGATAAATATGTTTGTTAGCCTCCTTCTGTACCTATTTAAGCTATTGCATCTGCAATTTTATAGCCAATTTATGAAGTTTTGAATGTTATTTTTCACACCCATGCATGAACTTTAATTTGGTATGATGATAATCTGCATACAATTTCGACCTTCCCATGTATTGATCCATACTATCTTTCAGAGCAATGTACTTTAGTGCTTACCTTCATCTGTTTTTAATTTGTGCTTTGTTTTTTCTGCACCATTTAAGCACCCTTGTGCTGTAATCTATTTTAGCCTATTAACATAAATACCAGTAACTTTATTTTTTTCTTTCATTTGGTTGCTTGAAGTTAAAAAGTCATTGAAATAAATAAATTCACTTAACTGATTGTAGTTAGAAATCAGAATCAGTTTCAAATTCTACAAACACCTCCAAACCCACTTGAATTTTATGATTTATTTTGATACAAAAAATTTGTGAAAATAAAATAATCATGCGGTAAAAAGTTTTCTCTATGTACTGCCAAACAAATGAGCCTTTGCAGTCCATGTAGACTGGATGGATCTTTTTTCTTAGAAAAATGCTATCTAGGCTACTTACTAGATCTTTTCTATAGCAATCAGTGTTTTCCTCAATCGGGCTAGTGCTGCTTTAAATTCTGAAAAACTTTTGCGGTTTGCTTCTGCTGTATTTGTTTTTGCATTGTTTGGAACTCAGCCATCATTAAAAGTACTTGGTATTTTAGTGGTTTGCAGGTGCATTTTTTATCATCATCGGCGTTTTCATTCTCAGCAAGTCAAATATTGAGAAGAAGTCAAGCCAAGATTGAGGACAACGGAGTCATAGAACTTGGTGTTTCTTGTTCTTCATCTTTTGCTCGTTTTCAAGATATATAGGTCGGTGAGATTAGTTATGTTTTGTGTTTTATATTAGATGATTCATATGCAGTTAATTTTTTTAATAACTTCACTTTATTTGCTTTATGCTCAACCTTGAGCACATAAATCGAGAGTACTTAGAATTACCTTGTTTTGGATTAGTAATTCAAATTCCAATAGTTTTTTTAGGCTCAAACTTTGTGGTTAGTATTCCCTTGAGAGATCATAAAAGGCTATTATTGTAGTTCGTCTCCTATTGCTCAAACTTTAACACTTTCACAGCCTTATGCCAAATGCAATGTATTTGGTGTCTCGAGCGAAATCCTATACATGCTTTTTCTTGAATGGTGGGGTAGAAATCATATCCGATGCCCACGATGTGGTAAGTTGATTATTGATTATACTTGTGTTCATGTTCGTGCCCCTTTTTGTGCTTGACCGAAAATGGCCTTCTTAAGGTCCATCCTTTTTAGATCTTCTTTCTAGGTTACCCTTGCTTAGAAAAGCAAAGGAAGAAAGGAAAGGTGAATAAAATCTACGACGAAACATAATGAGTAACTAAATTTTAAGTTTTAGAAAAAAATTTTGTTTCAATTTGAGTTGAATACTTTAATTATTCTTTTTATTATCGAAATTATCGTCAAATTTTTTCATCGGCTTAAAAGTTCCCCAAGTAGAGTTGGGTTTGGGAAGTTCTTTTTGAAAAATAATGATTTATTGAAAATTTTTTACGTGAAATTATTTTTTATGCATGAAAACCTTAGTGTAAAATTTTACACAAAAATGGTGTTTGGTGACTACCAAACTCATATGTATGTTTCTCATATATGATTATGAATATTTTGCAATTTGTTGAATATAATTCGATCATCAGATTGGCCTGTGGAGAAAATAATAATTTGATGGTGCATGAAGCACTATTCATGCATGAAAATTTAAACTCAAAAGTTTTACGTAAAAATTATATCATACGATCGTCGAACTTATTTGCATTGTCTTTATATGTGATAATAAATAAAAATTCACACCTCAAAATTTTGATTTGTATTTATACTCGTAGTAAAGTTTTGTGATTTGAATAAGTGGAAATAATATTACTGCATCATTATTTCATCTTTCAAATCATATTAAATAATTTTAATATTTATTGTATAATCTAATTCAACTTTCGTTCAACCATTGAACATTGAAACTCTCTTTCAATATAATGTTCAATGAATTGATCTTCAAAATCTTAATTATTAGACATGATTAATTAAGTTTTTATATAGTTCCTTTACTAACTCTATGGATATCAACATTGGCAGGAAGGTCTAAGTCTACAATAACAAAAGCAGAATATGCAATTTGAAAATATAGAGTATTGGTGAAGGCTGAGCTCTCATACAATTTAGCAACATAAAAGGTTTAGTGGTAGATCTTCAAAGCTTTACTTCAATCTAAGATTTCAACAGAATATACAAGACTTAAAGCCGTGAGTGATATATATTATATAGCTTTTGTTTTATTTGCAAGTAATGAAATAATCAACTAACCCCGAAGCTTTCAGGCTTTAGAGAGCACATGTGTGGGAGTATATATTCAATGCATCAAGTTGCTAAACTACTTTAATGCGCAGCCAGTTCGAGAAAGTCAGCTTCTTCAAGCTTAATCAATGTCTGCACATATAGAAAATATTAGGTCCGGTAAATCAAACGTGCAGAGGACGGCATGGATTGCACTATCCGTTCGACAGCATGATGTGATTCACGCCGTCACCCTCAAGTCGGTCAGATGCAATATTTTCTCTTGGGTGAGTGAATCAAACTTCCTGATTTTCATTGTTGCAAGCTAGTAGTCCTTGTCCGTTTCTACTGTGTAGTGAGGAAAAGGACATGAAACCAACAGATTTTAGACTTTAATACTCATGTGATTTTAGAAGGAGGTCCACTGATAAATAAGGACCCAGATTTAATGGCTGGAACAAAATTAAATCTGGTTCAGATCTTTCTATTTTGGAGAAAAGATGAGGCCAGACACAGTTATAACATAGGTACTGACAGTTGAACAATGACTATCAATGGCTTCTGCTGTACCTACTCCCCATTGCCAATACATATCTAGTAACCAATATTTTTATTCCATGACTGGATAGTGTTCCAAACTAGCATTTTTTAACTGTTATTGAAACCAGCTAGAATTAATGCGAGAGGTGGTTTGAATGATATATTTAAGCTGGGTGAGATATGAATATAATGGAATAGAGTTGTGGATATGAAATTAATATGGATGTATGTGATATTAGAGGATGAGTATGCAAATGCTGTATTCTTGTCTTAAATGAAGGTCTGAATGCGCAACGACATTATCCACAAGTGTAGCATCTGACAATGGGGTGCAGCGAATGTATTAATGCTGGATTGGGAGAAAATACTTGTTTGCTATTTGATGCAACATATTGATTTTGCAAAGGGATTGAGAGAAGTATCTGAGAGTCGGGATTGAGAGAAGTATTCGCATTATATATATATATATATATATATATATTTAAAAGAATGACTAGAGGCTATTATAATAGTCTCCAATCACCCTCAAGCAGCTAACTATTTGAAGACCGCCCTCACTACTGACAAACTGGCTAGAGAGTAGGAATATTAAAATGACTCGTTGTTCGCGAACAATTCATGTTTAGCTCGTTCTCTAAAGTTAATTAGCGGAACATGAACAAAGATTTGTTCGTTCATGTTCGTCTCGTTTTGACTTGAAATACTATTTATCAATTATATATATATATATATATATCGAGGAGTGGTATTTTTGAAAACAATTAAAAGATTAATTAAAAAAATAGAATAAAAATTATTAAATTAGATTCAAATGATGTTTTAATATGAACAATAATTTTTAAATCTCTCCCCAACCTTTAATATTTTATGGTTACATGATTGGAGTTATCAAAACGACTCTTTGTTCATGAACAGCTCGTGTTCGGCTCGCTAAGCAAACGAGCCAAACACGAACATACTTTTTGAGCTCAAAATATAAACGAACACAACACACGAGCCGAACACGAGCTGAGCCTGGGCTTACTCGTGTTCGACTCATTTACACCCATACCAGAGATGGATTTGAACCCGTGACTAGAGAGGGCTTACGACCTTCAAAGAGTCTGCTCTCACATGCCTGAGTGGTTTTCCTCGCTTCAACGCCCAAATTCAGAGAAAATTTTACGTTCGGACGCCGCACGTCGGAACGACAAATTGCCGGGCACCATGTCGCTATATATGTTGGCACAGGGCGATGTGTCGGCCGACTATTGGCCGACTGGACGTGCGGACGTCCGTATATAATTTTTTTCCCCAAATTCTCGACCGTCGGCCTCTCAGTCTTGCACATGTGCTCGCTCGAATCGACAATCTAGCCCTCCGCACCGTTGTGCTGTCACGAGTAAATTTTTTCATGGTTGGTTTGTTAATGTTAATTGGTAAGATGTTTGCCCTACTTAATATATCTAATTAATCTGTAACATGGTAAATTCAATTAAATATTATATTTATACAACTTTATGAGCTTTTATCTAAGCTAATCTCATAACTAATTTAAGAAAATATCAAACCATATATCAACATTCAAACAATAAAATCATGACTTAGTGTTAATAATTTTCAGGAAGATTTAAGCTATAAAAATGAACTCAACGTCTGTACTCAAATAAAATTCAAGATAATTTTAAAAATCTTGCTAAAAAACTATAATAAATTTTTTTTTAAAAAAAAATTATTGAAAATAGTGATAAATAATGAAATCCTAAATCATAAAAAGTTCAAGGTATTTTAGAAAAATTTAGTAGCTTTTTAAATCTCTTTTGTTTGTAAAATATAAAATCTAATTACAATTCCCTAATTTAAATTTTGATAGATATTATATTATCTAAGTCATTAACAAATTTGAAATTTTTTTCACCCAATTTATTATATTAGACTAAAAAAAATCATATTTAAAAAATATTAATATAGAGAAAATATATATACATTAATTAATTAAAACTAATATGATCATTCAATATAATTTATTAATAATTTGTATTTTATTTAGATCTTTACTCGTATTAAAAAAATATGCCCTCATTAATTTTTTTTCAAGTCAACCATGATATATATTATTGAGTTCATATATGTCCTGTGAGGCATGCATGACCAAGGATTGAAGCAATAGAAATCTTGAGGAAGAGGTAGAGAGAGTGAGGGAGAGAGGAGAGAGTACACAGACTTGCCTCGTAGGGGCAAATGGGGTAGTCTCGGGCTCTGTGACCCATTTTATATCTTGTAAATAGCGGTTATAAGAGGGAAAAAGAGATAGTTCTTCCTACAGAATATGGTTTTAGAGAGAAGAGCTAAAGCCATTAATACAAGCTATGATTTCTCTATTTATAGAAGATAGAAGAATAAAAGATAAAATTACATAATTGCCCTTGCTTTAACAAGGTGTTGCAGATTGTTATTATCTTTTTGGCACTTTTTCATAGTCATAATTAATTTTGGCACCGTTTCGTGTGCCTGGACCCCTCATCGGCATGTCCTCGGGTCGCCCAATTGAGCTGGTTTCGGTTGGCTTTCTATTTTGACACCAGCCTGTCTTCCTTCTTGGATGTAGGTCAGTTTTTGAAAGGGTCCGCTTTCAAGAGTCTGATCGAGTTGCTTGGTTACTACACTTTGGCAATCTTTCAGAGAGCTTTGGGGGAGCTATTGATAGAGTTCCACATTGATACTTGTGAGATTGTTGGGGGGTTAGACCTTTGACTAGTTGTTGTATCTGCCTATCCCTGGTTGGCCTGGTGGCCCTTTGGTCATTTGAACTTTGGTCGGCTGGTAGCATTTTGGTCGGCTAGTTATCGGTCAGTTGGTGATCTTCAACAGATCAGATTCATGAAAACTTATAGCTTTTTGCTTGTGATTTGTATAGTGTTAGATTGTCTCGAGATTCATGGAGATCATTTTTGAGTGTACATATTAAGTTTCCAAGTTTTCTTGCTAATTGATATCAATAATTGCGATAATGATAAGAATCTTTTTAAAGAAATAAATCAAATCTTAATATTCATAATTTATTGCAATTATTACGATATGGATTTTCGTGCCTATAACTCTTATATATAGGGCGTAGTGGGTGGTTCTCAATATTTTGAGTTTATTTTTCCTTGCATCCGCTCAGCTTCTATTTTTCCCTTATGGTGGAAGGAGCTGATTCGACACCTAAACATGTCGATCGGGTGAAGATGTTATTCACTCTTAGGGTAAAGAAGTAGAACCGACTGGAAGGCAAGCCAAGGAAGAAGAAATTAGCTAAGAAGATGGAACCATTCGAGAGAGTGGAGCGGGAGAGTCGTTAGATTAGATCTAAGAGGCTCCAAAGAAGGGTCAAGAAGAGCTGGGTCGTTCGATGGCTGGTCAGTCAGTTCATGTTTCTGTTGAGGTTCTAGGCCAGTTAGAGAATGCAAATGCCCCTCAATTGACTGGTGTACCAAGAATTGGTGGAGGTGATTAGCTGGTCGGTAAAAAAAGAGCTGTCATGATCTTTCATTGCAGAGTGTAGGTAGAGCTACTTAGTCTGAGGTGGAGCAAATTCTGAATATGTGTTTTTATTTTTTCTTAAGAGTTTACTTAGATTTTTGTTCTTTCTCATCAATTTTTGTTTTTTGAAGTAGCTGAGTGCCCTTAGGTCAGAGTTTTGCCCCTTGCTGGTGATAGTCGAGATCCAACTATGGTGGCAGCTCTTGTGTACTGAGCGTTGGGCGACAACAAGGAGAAAGTGCTCACCCGCTCTACTAATCCTGTGGAGATCCACAAGGAAGGAGTTGAGGGAAGTCAGATGTCCTCGAAGACATTGAACCATGCGTCTGGACGAAATTGAGGCTGATCTGGCTCTGCGAGAAGAGGATCTCAGTGCGGTGCTGCTCCAAATGGAGGACATGCAAGGGGAAACAACTGATCTTTGCCGGGAAGTATCCAAACTTTGGGAAGATGCTTTCGTACAGAGGACGCATTCTGAGGCCGACCGAGCAAATTAATTCATGCTCGACATTCAATGTTGTATAGGAGGTTAATTAGGAAGGGTCTTGTCCTGACTAAGGGAGCAAATGACTAGGATGTTAAGTATCTCCTCTTGGACTATGATTTGAGTGTAATTACTTAATTATTGAAATAAAAATATCTAATTTTCTTTTCATCTTGATTTGTGAGTTGATGTGATGTTTTTTGTCGAAACTTTTTGTGTTGTTTCATCTTTCACTGTGTCCCTATAATAGAGGCTGAGGTGTTTATTTGTATGCTTGCTGTCTTTTTCTTTGAGTTTTATTACTTTGTTTTCTTCTTTTGGCCTTTCCTTTTGTTCAATCTTTCATTTCAATACTTTTTCCACTCTGATGGCTCCAAAGCCCGCTCTCCAAACTTTCAGTTTGGCAGCAATGACTGAGCAATCAAATTTATCCCTATCAGATGTAGCTTTCATGGAGGAGGCTTCATCTTTGATTTGACCATCAGGTTCCAGGCCGCTCGTCTAGATGAGAGGTCCACTGATTAGTTTGGAGACAACCTAGTCATTTATAAAGAGAAGTTGAGATATAGATTGCGGGGTCCTCGGTGCTAGGAACTCAGGGCGGTCTTCAATATGTTCTCACGGTGAATATCAAGTTCAATTATATTGTGGCTATAATGACTTACAGAATTTTCTGCCGGTGAAGAGGAATCCCATGGACAGACTTATTCAATCACATGAAATTGACGGGCAGCTCCTTTTAGTTCCCAATACACAAATCCATTTACCGTTAATAGGGATTTGTTTCCTGGAATTTTTAGCTGGACGACGATAAACATTTGGGCCTCCTCCAATGCAAAAAGCTGAGAGGGAGGTGGCAATCATTGCTCAGAGTGCTTGGAAGAAGGCCAAAGCTAAGGACCGGGTGAAGTTCATCCTACCCAAGAAGTTGCAACAATAGAAGAGAGGTCGGTTAAGGGTCGCGACAACGTAGTCAGCTCTGTAGGTCAGGAATTTTTGTTTTTTTATCTCTGCAATGACGGCGGTGATCCAAAAAATTTTTACTGGTGAACAAACCATATTAGAAAGTATTGACTCGACATACTATAACACACCTGCTAGGTGCAGCTTCTTTAAGCGCAGATCAATGAGAACCAACCCGAAGAGCCGTCTGGTCGCTCTGAAGAGAATGAAGCCGAGGAAGAGTCCTCTGAGGAAGGGGTAAAAGCACAGACAACTTTAGCTCACCCAAATGCTACGTACATTGGGCTATCTGTATGCAGTGAGGCCAATCGACCTGCTTCTACCTCTCAGACCTAATCAGAAACCAACTCGAAGGCAATATCTTGGGAAGAGGTGCAACATAGAAAAGGGAAGGAACCAGTTTC